TTGATGGTATTTGCTGGTAGTTAAAATCACCTTGGTTTGGAGGTTTCACAATCCGTTTGCTTCTCCTTCTCCCATCAGTGTTTAATGGAAGCGAATCAGTCAGCTCCTCCCCAGTCACATCCTGAACCTCTGCACCCTTCATCTTCCGTCACAAAAACCAAACAAGGTAGAATAAGCTGTTGATTTCATATATTAATACAGGCTGTTCTCTTTGCCTATCAGACAACAAACTCATTTTTAGGTTAAAACAAAGTATAATTATGTTCTTTTTGGATTTACATTTGCATTTACAGTTGGCTGTTTTTGAGATTAGGGGCACGTTTGTACTCAACATTCACAAGAACTACACAAGAACAATGTGTAACAAGAGACATTGGGAATGACCAAAAATCAGCCAGGTAAAGGGCGGAAGCAACTTTCTAATTCTAGCGATGACAATTTAGCCAACAGTACCACATGAATCAAAGAATGACATCACGTGACCTTCAACAAGAATGGGGAACATTAAGTGCTGTGAAGTGCGCTGCTAGGAAAAGTTCATAACATGCTCCTAGAAGCAGGACTAAAGTCTCATAAAGCAAGGAAGAAGCCCTTAATCCAGTGGTTCCCAAACTGGGGGGCACAGAGGTATTGCGGTGGGGCCGCACCAATGGGATAGCCTCAGGGGCAAAATAATCTCTTCACAGACTGGACAATTAAACAAATAAAGCAGCGCAACATTACAGTAACTAACAATAAACAAACCACTAACTTACTTGTACTATTAGAGCATTTATGTAATTTATTTAAACTTTATTTTACCAGGTAAATTAACTGAAAACCAGTTGTGACTGCTTTATGTGATATTCAGGAGAATTAGCAGATTACGCATCGGAACTTCCTGGGACACAAACGTCATACAAACGACACGTTCTTCAGCCAATAAGGGCAAAGTTGTGTCGTCACGGAGGCTGTTCCAGTTTGTTCAGCCGGCTTAGAGGTGCTGTACGATTAAGTCGTCTTGCTCTTGCAAGGTTTTTGTACCATTGACAACGTTTTGCAGCGCCGGACAAAAATATCTAACCATATCTTGAAAAACGAGGTTTAAAATTTTCTACATGAAGTGCAGGGAGACTATTAATTAATGGGTATGATTTTGTGTTGTGTTGCGCTATAGTATAGGCTGAAACCTGCGGTTATCATTAAAGACAAAATGCGGTAATCGCAAGACAAACTTTAATTTGTGTACGCCAATGAATATTAACAGGAATGTTAAATCTGCATTTGCATAGTTTCAAACTTGTGCTGGACTTTTATTTTTAATTGATCTTTTTTTCCCCACAGTGGTGAAATTGCACCATTTGTATTTTGTAATTGCATTTGTTTCGCTCAATTAGAAAAAGGAGTTGTATTTCAAATAAAGTTTGAATCTGAACCTGTGTAGTTTGAATGGGGGGGGGGGCTCAATAATGTTCCTATCTAGAAAAGGGGGGCCCTGCAGAGAAAGTTTGGGAACCACTGCCTTAATCAATGAGAAATGGAAAAAAGGCAGGTTGGAGTTTACAAAAAAATTGTATATTTTACACAGAAGCATACCCATAAATTGAAAAATGAAAGTAAAAATTCAATATGAGCTAAGAAAGCAGTGTCATATGTACAAAGTACAATGAAATTCCTACCTGAATGCCCTCTCCACAGACTACAGTCAAATAATACTAA